AAAATTCGTTCCTAGAATGCAAAAATAGAGATAAAAATCACATCTTTTCCTCAAAAAACAAATAAAAATTATACCTTTTGCTCATAGCCACCAGGGCGGTGCCAACAAGGAGGATCGAACTTGATCCCCCTCATCGCGGCGACCTCCAGAATATCCATGTTCTCCAAGCTCATATTGGGTTCTCTGAACATCATGGCGAGCAGTTCCAAATAATTCGTTAGGGTTAGGGTTTCCATTGTTTCGTCGTTGTTTGGGGGCGGGGGGTCGAAGGGGCCCATCATTTTGTCGTACTGGAAATGAGAGTGAGAGTGAGAGAGATATGAGAGAGAGGAGGAAGAAGGAGAAGATCTGGAAAAGAAGAGGCGTATTTTGGGTTTTTTTGGAATTTATTTTCTTGGAAATTGTAATAAGGGCTGAATCACAAAGAATTTTTATGTTTGTGGCTAATACACATTAGAAAAAGTATAGGGGATGAGACACATCAAGTTTTCAATTTTGGGGCATTGAAGCAAATTTTCCTTTTTTTAAATAAAGTTTAATTAAATTATTTTAAGTGTATAAGCATCTATATAGTGGGACAATATGATTTTCTAGCTCAAAGTAAAAAAAGAGAGAGACCTCATTAGTGCAAAAAAGTTAAGAAAACGCTACAAAATTTACTATAAAAGTTGGTACTACTTTTATATTAGGATAAATTTTCAAAACCAACCCATTTAGAAACTTAATTGCAAAAAACGACCGGTTTTTAAGTTATTTGTCAAAATCGACTCAGTTTCAGCCAACTGGCTGAAACTGGCTAAATCTGGGTCGATTTTAGTAAAAAAAATTACAAAACTTCACGGGACTTGAAGTCCCGTGAAGTTTCGTAACTTTTTGTATCAATATCGATCTAGTTTTAACCAAGTGGCTGAAACTGGGTCGATTTTGATAACTAAGTTGCAAATATGTTGTTTTTTGTAATTAAATTTCTGAATAGGTTGGTTTTGAAAGTTTTTCCTTTATATTAAGAAACATAAAAATCGTAAAGTCTAAGTAATTCATAATTTCTTTTTTATAATTTAAATATTAAAAAAATCTTTTTTTTCACGTATAGTAGCACAAAAATAATATACCTCTCGTGTACGGTTATCTGCTCAGAAATTCCCCTGGGTATTTTTTTTTATAATAAAAAGGTTTTCTCCAGTGTTTTCCCGTTGAGGCTAGTTAGTATATACTTGCAACGCGGACATCTCTTCCGTTGTCTACAAGGAATCAGACCATCGACGTCGCTTATCGCTCACCGACATTATATACAGCAACTTTTGATCTTCTTATTTTTCGATCGATCGATCCGTTGATATTTCATAATTTCAATCGCTCATCGATTCAGCAAGAAAAAAGTTAGGGTATCGGCATGGATTTCGAGTTTCGGATGGCACGTGAGAAGCTGGAGAGGGAGCAGAGGGAGAGGAAGGAGAGGGCCAAGGCGAAGCTCGAGAGGGAGAGGAAAGCCAAGGCCGAGGCCGATCGCCGGCGAGAAGCTATCGAGGCCACGCAGCGAGCCAGGAGAATCGAGGCCGCCGACGCCCTTCTCAAGGTCAGATTACGATTTTCTGAACCTTTTGAATTAGGGTTGAAAATTACGGGAACCCTAATTTAGTTGTGATTAGATTATTTAGATTTTTGGAAATTCCCCCATGATTTGCTCTTGAGTTGTGATCAACCCTAGAAACATAGAGCCTTCATGTACGAGGTCAAAGAAAATTTCCTAGTTACGCAGCTTAACTTTAATGCGCTTTGAGAGCACATGAAGTTCTTACTCTTGAAGAGGGTCTTCGCCAAGGGGCAGACTGGGAACCATAGGGCTAAAGGGAACCTGTTTGTGCCAAGATTGCTTCAAAGTTCCCTGCTCAAATTTTTACCTTGAAATCAATTTCATTTAGGCTGCGTTTGGATTCGAGATTTGATTTCAAATTCCAGAATTGAATTCTAAAATTTGAAATCCAGAATTTTAAATTCAATTCCTTCGTTGGGGAAACATCCAAATTTGAATTCTAGAATTCAATTTGAAATTCACGTTTGGCAAACTTTAGAATTTCAATTTTAAAAATTTCAATTGAGTTTGCCAACTAGTAGAATTCTAATTTCTGAACTAAATTTGTAGCTCTAAGATAATTTAGAAATAAGTTACTCAAATTACATAAGGTTTGCATTGAAATTGGTGGAAATAAATGCCTCAAATAGTATATCACATATCCAACTAACTTGACATATCGATAAAATACCTTAAAATCTGAAATGCAGTAATGTCAATAGATGACCTAATAATCACCATAAAAATAATCAAAATCATTCATCAATAAAACTTTGTAAACTCATCCACCGTTAACCAAAACAATAAGAAAAGTAGAAACTTCAAATATTGCATATAACAATTCAACAAACTAGAGATCCAAAATATCCAACAAGTACAAACCAACAAAACTTAATATTTCGCCTTTACATATTGTCATTCTTAAGTTGCTCTCGCACTAGTTTCTTTAAGACTTTTTACATCTGATTCAATTGAAAGTTTCTTTCTAATGCTTATACACTTTCACTTTGTTTTTCTTTTGTAGTTTTTTCACCTCGGTTCAGAAAGTCTTGCTTTGCGACTTCTTGAATCACCTGAAACAATAACAAGAAGACCAAATCAACTCCATTCTTAAAGACCGTGCATACTTGTAACATAAAAGAAATCATGTTCTATTCCTATTGCTAGGAATCACATTCTTAAATAAAACTGATGAACAACATGTGGAGAGTTCAATTTAAGCCAGGATGATGGAAGCCATGTTTCCATACAAAATGCTTGTACTAGAAAAACAATGCAACCAATAGGTATCTACTGCCAAGCTTTTCTAACAGATATGGTGCTAACCGAGGGTGTATATCTGAAGAAAAACGATCAGGAAAAACAGTTTACGACCTTGAAGATCTATTTCACATGTTTAAAACCATTGAATGATAACCTACGACCCATCACAAATAAACTGATCAGATGCATGAGGTCATGGAGTAATCTTGTGCTTATGCTTAATGCCTTCCTTCTCCCTCATATCTATGACATTAGTACTAATAGGCTTCCAAGTGCTCCTAAAAAATAGCTATCTAAGCAGTAAGCAGGCTTCAAATCATTTGCCTTCTTGCTGTAAACTATTAAATACTCACAAAGGTCTTCAAATCCTTATTATGCATCATTGAGCACTTTGCATCATCTGAGAGCAAGATTTTAGATAAATGTTTATTAATGTATAGTTCTAGTAGTTATACCCAAGTCTAATATGCATGCATAATCTATATTCACATACAGACATGGCATATTCATGTCTGTGCAAAAGGATTTGATGGCAGTGCGTATATCACCTACATATATCCATTCCATGTATGCTCCAAAAATGGGCAACTTCAAGCACGTGCATTGCTGTACAAGAACATCATTTTTGTTGTGTTCATAAGCACCAACCTCATAAACACACTTAATGCAACACCTGGACAGTGTTAATGTGAAGGCATTTCATGTGCATGCATCTGCCAAATGCACACGGTCTTAGGTTTCATGTGAGCATAAAAAATGCTCCATTAACATAACATGCATATGCTTTTTCAAATGGCTTTGAGAAGCTACAACACCATAACCTAAGCAAGTGCATTTTCTCAGTAAAGTCACCTCAGGATGTGAACATTGATACGTTTAGCTTGTGACTTGCTTCATTGTTTTACATGTTGCACTTGCCTATGTCGTTGCAACAACAAAACAGATTTTCTACAAACTAAGAACATATTGCACAAAATGAAGAAAATGTTAACATTCCATTGTCCACTGAATGACGACAAAAAAAGCTATACATGAAATGTCCATACGCAAGAGACAAATATGATATCTCAGTGATCTCATCACCATAACCGTTCTCGAATTGAGATAATGGCACAAAATGTGCAAACAAACAACAACATCCACATTAAATAAGGCTTAGTACAAAGAAAACACAAAGTCCTCGTCCTTCATAATGCAACATCAAGATTTATCTATTTTTACTTCAAGGTCTAAATGCAGAGGTTATAAAACATTAATCTTCATGAAAGGACTTAAACAGCCCAAGTTCAAAGTTCAAATCCCACTGGACACATTTAATATGTGATTTATAAACACAAAAAGGATTCGCCTATGTCTCAGTTAGTCAGTTTCCTTTATTACTGAAACTAAACTACATTTCTAGCTTAATCATCCAAACAAACAATAAACAAGCAGATAAATCTCTCAAATCCATCACCAAAATCATCTATTATAACAAGTTGCAAGTTTTTCCAAAAAACGAACAATGAAATCTCACTATCCATAAGTCTTAGCAATAACCAAAACAACCCTACATCTAAAACTCTCAAGATTCAAACAGACATTTTAAATAAAAAGCCCTAAACAGATGACAAACAATGAAAAAAATAACCTTTTTAGCTCCTGCGACCGCCGACGAACCCACCGTGTCCAGGCGGCCTGGCGCGCCGCCCCATCCCGATACTCGCGAGCATCTCCATCGTTTCCTTGTCGACCTCGATCCGCTTGACCTTGATCTCCGACACGTTGGGGACGAAGTCCATTCTCTGCTCGCGCTCCTCCTCCCGCAGCTTGAGCGAGATCCAATGAGGAATTAGGGCTCGATCGAGAGGTAGATTGACCAGTGTCACTGAGCATCGCGATCAACGCTCTGCTGAAAAGAGATTAGGGCTTGTCAAAGAAATCAACAATCGATCGAGAGAGAGCAAGAGAGAGAGAGAGAGATCAGATCTAGGGTTTCATCAGAGAGAAAGATCGGAGAGATCACAAGTTGAGAGAGGGAGATCGAGAGCGGACCGCGAGTTTGAGAGAGATCGAGAGCGGATCGCGAGCTCAAAAACAAGATGGGAATTCAAAATGACACCTCCGTAGTTGTTATTTATAATTCCGTGTTCATTATAGAGTTAAAAGCCCAAAGGAGTTGGGCCAATTGCAGAAATTGAATTTTTTTTGAATCCAAATACTGAATTTAGCTCAAATTCATAATTTGAAATGAAATACTGGTTACCAAACATGCTCTTAAGAATATTCATACACATTAATTGGTATTAATTACGATAGGACCATGGTTAGCAATTTTTTTTGGGTTGGGCGTAGGAGAAGGCGAGATGACTGGTTGGAGAATGGACTCTACTTGCCCAATGGTCATCAGAATCATCCCTTGCTTAAATGAATCACATCTTATTCAAGTTTGTTTATCTTTTCAAATAGACTTTCAAAAATCAGGCAATGAACAGGAGGTGAGATAATGCTTTTGGATGCTCACTTACAATTGTAAAAATCATAGTTTTAGATGCTAAGACATCAAAAAAAAATTTAGTAAATTGTTTCATCGCTAACTATGATTGGGGGCCAAAGGTGAGAGAGTTTACCATGGTCACACTCTCATTTTGTTTCTTATATGCTCACTTACAATTTAAACTAGTGATAATCATAGTTCTAGATGTGAAGACGTCAACGTAGTTTTTTTAGTGAACATACTTCTGTTGCTAGCTATGATTAGGGGCCGAATGTGAGATAGTTTACCAAGGTTACACTCTTGTTCTGTTTCTTATATATTCTACCTGACCATAATCTCATCTCTAGCTTTTATGTATGTTGCAGGCAGAACAGGAAAAGGAAGCCAATCTGCTTCTTGGAAAAGGAGTTGTGTTTTCTCGAACTCTTGAAGCTGTTCCTTATGATGGATATGGAGACAAAATCAAATTACCAGCTTCTTGCTTCACTGAATTGTCTGATCAGGGAGCCTTGGATAAAGGACCCATGTATTTCAGACTCTCAAGGACTGATATGACCGTTTCTTCAGAATCTGATGCCAATGTAAAGCAAGAGCCAGGAACAACACATTCAGGAGTTTTGGAATTCACTGCAAGAGAAGGCTCTGTGGAACTACCTCCACATGTATGGAGTAACCTATTTTCTAACGATGTTGTTGATGTTCCTTTAGTTGAGGTATGTTATTGTAGCTTGCCAAAAGGAACTTATGCAAAACTTCAACCAGAAGGGATGGGTTTTTCTGACCTTCCAAATCATAAGGCTGTACTTGAAACAACTCTCCGCAAGCATGCCACTCTCTCACAAGGTGATATTATCACGGTTAGTTATGGAGAGTTGTTGTACAAGTTGAGGGTTCTAGAGCTAAAACCAGCCACCAGCGTTTCTGTTCTTGAAACGGATGTTGAAGTTGATGTCGTGGGGTCGGATTCTGTATTGGACAGTATCAAGAATCAGCATGTGCTCACGCCACTTGTTCTTGGAAAAGTTGAATCAGGAACTGTAGAGGAAGGGTTGTTCAACTATTACAAGTTCTCTATAGAAGATAACATCAGTCAGGTAATTACATCTGGGTCGATGAATATTGAGGTGAAGGTTGAGGCAGACACAGATGATGGTGATACTGATATTTATATATCTAGGCACCCGCTGGTCTTCCCAACCCAACATCGTCATGAATGGTCATCACATGAGATGGGTTCAAAGGTCTTGATACTTGATCAGAAGGATGCAGAGGTTGCTGGCACCTACAGCATTGGAGTCTTTGGTTTCAAGGGATTGACCAAATATCACATAACTGTGGCCCTCAAGGATAATAATCCTCATAGAGTCGGAGAAAATACTAAGACTTCATCACAAGTTGTGGATTCCATAGAATGTCAAAACTGCAAGCGTTTTATCTCTAGGTCAAGCATCATGATTCACGAAGCATATTGTTGGAGGCACAATGTCCTTTGTAAATATGATGGCTGTGGAGTTGTTCTCAGGAAGGAAGAAGCAGGGAACCATGCACATTGTACTAAATGTGGAAAAGCCTTTCAACAGGCAGAGATGGAGAAGCACATGAAGGTGTTTCATGAGCCCCTTCATTGTCCATGCGGAGTGGTACTTGAGAAGGAAGAAATGGTAAGAAACTTTGCTTGCTTTACTCTGTGATATTCTAAGTTCGTTTTCCTTTGATCCTTTCTGTTAATGTAGGTGATAAAAGAAAACCAATTTTCAATTGCTATTCTCTTTTTTATAAACGAGGATGTTTGGTGAATTGAAAGTATCAAAGTTACTTTTTTGACAATTTTCTTTCACATCCATATTGGCATGCAAGTGAACTATAATGTTTGTTTGCAAAAACAATTTATTATTGAAGGTTCAAAAGTGAAGATGATGTAGCAATCCTTTTATTAATAAATATGAAGTCATTTAATTACAAGCGGTGCCCACTGTTTCACTTTGATGTGAGTTCAACAAATTTTTACATGGGGTCAAAATGCACTTAATTTTATGCGGCAACTTTCTTGCATTTCATTTTCACAATCATTTGCATGCAAACAAACACGTGAAGTGTTAAAAAAGAGTCACTTCAAGTAGGAACCATGCTTGTGAGATTTTTATAGACTTGGTGCATGTCATTCTGCTTGTCAGGTATTATACCCTTGATCTGTAAGATACGTACCTTTATTAAATTTATCCAAGATACAACTTCCTGGTGCCAGAAATATGGTTCTCACTAACAGAAATAATTACTTGTTACGTTTTAATTATTGTTTGAAACCTTATTGCGTTGTGTTTTCCCTACCTATTGAAACATATCCTCAGAACTGATTATTTTGATAATGGCTACTTAGCTTATAATGGCTACTTAACTTTTTGCTGAACTTTGTCAAATTTCATTTTATATAGTCTTGCAACTTCATCAGATTTCTTCATATTGTGCTGTAAGTTCGTCAAATTACATTATAAATTGTTGCAACTTTGTCAAATTTCAATACATTCTGTTATAACTATAATCAGGCATTTTGGTCTCTGGAATGTGTTTACATATATCTTCTCCTTTAATTCTAGTCACACCATTGTTAGTGGTGGCTTATCTCATTACTGTGTTCATCTTTTAATAGTATTTACATATTAACATGGCATGTCAAACTGCTAGTTTCATCCTTCAATTTTATAAACATTCATATCAATTTGTTGTGCTTAGAGCCTTAGGCTATAGGGACATTCCCAATTAGATGGGGGTTGTTGCCCTCCTATGGGTTAAAATAATTGTTTTATGTTGTTGTGTAATGTAGATGAGACTGGTCTCATGCTTTATGTATTAGTTTTAGAGTGGTTAAAATAATTGTTTTTATGTTATTGTGTAATGTAGATGAGACTGCTCTCATGCTTTATTTATTAGTTTTAGAGTGCATGCTATAGTTCATGTACTGTGTATAACATCAGCCAAAATTTCCTGCTTGCAGGTGCAACACCAGTCCACTAGTTGTCCACTGCGGTTGATTATGTGCAGGTTCTGTGGAGACATGGTTCACGCTGGAAGTGCACCGGTTGATGCTCGTGACCGTCTGAGAGGGTTATCAGAACATGAGAGCATCTGCGGATCAAGAACAGCACCGTGCGACTCATGCGGTCGCTCTGTCATGCTCAAGGAAATGGACATCCATGTCATTGCCGTGCATCAAAAAAGCTGATCTATCCAAAAGTTTGATTTATTTCTTGAACTTGTTCTTTTCCCTGGAAATGCGACGTGGGTTCTGGTTCTGCACAGCAATAGGAATATGTCTGTGCTTTCCATGTGTTTGACTATGACTTGAGTTGGGCTTGTGTATTTGATGACTATCACTACAAATATTGTTTGCAAATGTGATGGGATGATAATTTAAGTCATGGTGGACTTTAGGGGTTTTTATTAGCTGTGGTCGAATTTCGTATAAGATTCTTTACCATTTTGTTGGCTTTTTTCGTCAAGACCGATTCGTGTTTGCTATACATTTCTGCTTGCAGAGGTGGGACAAAGGACCGAGGCAGCTTGGAGAAGTTGTCATACCATATCTAGTCTCTCTTTTGCCGTGTGGCATGTACGTCAAAGACATTTGTTACTTTCTTACATATGATTAAATTTATATACGTCAAAGGCATTTGTTACTTCCTTACATATGATTAAATTTATATACGCAACACTGCACATAATAAGAGAAAGGGGCTGCATTATTTGAAGAATGGCCTGTTTGGCTATTGCAGTTATAGTTTGTAAGTGACGATAATGACTCGTATAATATATAGTTTGCTTCGTTGAGTATGAGAGCGCTGATGGCATCGGCTGTGTACTGTGCGGTGTTGATGCCTAGGTGAGCAGCGTGGGCTACTGCGGCAGTGATTTGCACCTGCAGTTGCGCAACCGTCTTAATGCTGGTTATGGATGACACTGGCGTTTTTGGCGTTGGCGGTCATGAGGAAGACAGTAAACGAAGAAGCAGATGAAGCTGATTGATACGAAAAGCAAAACTATCCGACTCTTCTTGTGTAACCTCACTATGTATCTCCGGTACGTGATGCCGTCGCACAATGTGAATCTCAATGGAAGAAAACGGTTCCCAATAAACGAAACTATAATTAAGGGAGTTGATATTATAATAGTTGTCATGGGAATTCAAATTCTCTTTTTAGCATCACAGAAGCTGTCCTCATTAATCACATGTAAGTTCAAAATCTGTCGTCATTAATCTCATGGAAGTTCAGCAGTCAGAGCTACAACAACGCAAAACCTGTCATCATTCATCACGTAGAAGGTCAACAGTCAGATCTATAAGAACGCAAAATTATCAGAAAATCCGCATATATTAGGGTGATATATACCATTTGCGTGCAGGTAGACGCCGCGTTGTGCTTCTTAATTTATTTTTGAGTATGATCTGAGTTGGGCTTTTGTATTTGATGCGTCTCAGTACAAATATTGTTAGCAAATGCGATGGGATGACATATACAATTTTATTCAAATTGCGGGTTTTACTGTTTTAGGTGTTTTTATTCCTCGTGTGAATTTGCTATAAGATTCTTTTACCATTCTGTGAACTCTTTTTTCCCCCGGTCGATAACACTAGCAAACATTCTATATTTTAGGGTGAAAATTTTGTGTAACATAATGGCATTTGCCGGGAAATGTGAATTACTTGTGATGGTGATGATTTAGGTTTTGATTTCAATGTTTACGGCACAATATTGCAATTTGTATTGGTCTTCAACTTATGCCTATAAACATGAAGAACTTCATTAGATAGAAGGATCACAAGGGGTCACAGATTACACCAGAAACTACAAGACAAAATCTACGGAGGTTTTAAAACGGCGGAGTCCTGAAGAACTTGCCTCAAACCTACTTCACCTTAGTGTTAGGTCGAAATGCCAATTTAGGCTCACAGGGAGATAATTCTTCATTGGGAGATAAATTCTTCATTGGGAGATAAATTCTTCGTTGAGTTCCTCCCCTTCAACATTTTCCTCCTCTGCGTCAGCGCAATTCTCCAAAGCGTTTTCTCCACCGATCAACTCCTAGTAGTCACGAAATCGTGCAGACCGTCGTCAATTGTAATTGACATGAAACTCTACAATCTTGGCCTTCACATAATCCTGAAGCTCCTCCTTGACTCCCTCCCCCGAAGCGGAACTGCAGCATATGTCTACCCCGTACCCCCTGACCTCACGGTGTCCACCATTGCAAATATAATACCCGTGCCATACATAGGAAGATGGCAGATTATTTTTGAGATTTTTTTTTAGGAGGTGGTTCTGATAAGATTTGTATTCGACCTGCACCGGAGCTGCATCTTTAGGGTCATCCCGAACCTTCGACTTTTTTAGGCAGTTTAATCTTGGGAAAATTTGCAAAATAGTCCGTTTTTGCTAATTATTTAGCAAAATAGACCGTTTTGCTAAATAATTAGCAAAATAGACCTCTTTTGGTCAAAAAGAGGTCTATTTTGCAAAACAACTCAGAAAACATACGGGACTAGTAGTCCCGTATGTTTTAATCACGGATTAGTGAACTCAGAAAATTTCACAAAACATTGAGATGAACTCAGAAAACATACGGGACTACTAGTCCCGTATGTTTTCTGAGTCACTAATCCGTGATTAAGTTGGTTCTAAACATACGGGACTAGTAGTCCCTTATGTTTTCTGAGTCTTATTTTTCAAAATCGACCTCTTTTTTTTTCAAAAAAGGTCTATTTTGCTAATTATTTAGCAAAACGGTCTATTTTGCTAAATAATTAGCAAAAACGGACTATTTTGCAAATTTTCCCTTTAATCTTCCTATGAGCACCAGCAGCCTCATCCTGCGCAGCACGAGTATGCAGCCATTTGCAGAAGTTGATGAAACCACAGACGTCAATGCTAACTGGCAGGCCGCAAACCCCACTGGTAATTGCCGTCAATGTCACCAACAGCACGATCTTTGAGTGCGTTGAAGGGACGGACCATTTTCAAGAAAATTTTGGTGGTGAGCCCGAGAGTGTCTGTTGATGGCTAC